TTCTTCTTCTTCTTCTTCTTCTTCTTCTTTTTCTTCTTCTTCTTCTTCTTCTCATCATTATTATGATCATCACCATCACAACCCCCCCCCTACCCCCGCCTTTCCAGAATCCGACAAGGCGCCATTGGGGGTACGTGGCGACACATCAAAGAGGTTCTGGGACATCATGGAAGCCGCGTGTGCTTTGTGGATGGTGCGTACAGACCTTTTGCCCTCAGTCTATACTTTTTCTCTCGTTATTGTCTGTTTCTTTCTCTCTTTAAAAGAAATATTCTTTTTTTGGGGGGTTATTTTGTTACCTATATTTTTCATTTATTTATTGTTTGTTTTTCGCCAAGACCTGTTTCTTACAAAGTTGTGAATGAATTCCTATCTTGTCTTATCTTATCTCATTTTATCTTATCTTATCTGATCTTGTCTTATTTTATGAAAGACATGAGATCACATCTATTCCACATAGTACACTGCTATTGAATTTCTTAAATGGCGTGTAGATAATACTTACACAGACCTGCGTGCAATTCCACCGCCCCCTTTCCCCAAACCCTAACAACAACAAAAACAAAACAAAAACAACAACAACAAAAAACAAAAACAAACAAACAAACAAAGACACCTACCAATAGCCTCATCAATTTCCTGTCGTGGATGGTTGGCGGGTGCTCTGGTGTGGTTTGCTTCTTCTTTCCTATCAAACATCTATCGTCTTAACTTCCCTCCTTCTGTTTTGTGTTTGTGACTCTCTTGTAACAGATCTACTCTTCGGCACTTATATGACCTTATTGCGTTGCAAGTGCCGTAAAACTCTTACTAAAACAAAAAAATGTCGTATTCCCAGGTCTGGTCAGTGTGTACGACTCTGACAAATTCAGTGACGCCCTCCAGCCACCTTTGCCGTACAGGGGGAAGCTGGTACACCCGCCGTACGCCCCCACACAGACGGAGTATGCCAACGGGAAGAAAGGCATTGTGTGTGAGTATAGAATTATACCCGCGATAAGATAAGATAGGATACGATAAGATACGGTAAGATAAGATAAGATAAGATAAGATGAGGTAAGGTAAGGTAAAGTAAGGTCAGGTAAGATAAGCGAAGGTAAGGTAAGATACGATAAGATACATCTTTATGGTCCTGATCTTGGCACATTGGTTTGGGGTTTCACCACGTACAAACACACACACATACACACACACACACACACACACACACACACACATACACACACACTCACACACACACACGCGCGCGCACGCATATGCAGGCACATGTGTATAGTAGTCCTTGGCATAACCATAATCTGTTATGTATTTGGCAACTTGGAAACACGTGTGTCACTTTTCCCATAAAACTACGACAGCTACAGAGTTGGAAGTTGGCAAGTACCTGCAAAAAGATAGATAGGTCCCCATGACAGCCCGAATTTTTGTTTATTTATTTCCTGACTTTAGAAAAGTATATTTAACAAGAAGTTCCCGTCTTTCTGTAGCCGTTGTAATTATTCCACTGAGAAACAGAATAGATTTGTGTAGCTGTCCTTCACAACGAAAGTACCGAAAGTCATATTTAATTTCGCGAAGCGCATGTTGTTTTGAGAGTATAGATCTAGACCTTCTAATGTTTTTCATCTTTCAAGATTTATTGCTCCATTCCAGTAGAGTGTAAATATCGTAGGCCAATAACTTTCAGTTCATGTTAATGCACCGATCATTCCTTTCATTGAAAGGGGGTCCAGCTAATAATAATAGTATGCTTGTACTCACAAACTGGCTCATAGTCACAAGCATAATATAAATGAACAGTAATATAAACGTTAATAGTGTTTAGCTAGATATCTACTCAGTATTCTGATTTGTAATTCAATGGTATTCTGATGCATGCCTAAAAGGTCATACTATGGATACTTGTCATGTGGATAGGTTGGCTAGGGGGTATTTTTTTGGATTAGGTTCTTATACTTTATCGTTAAAACTTAAGTCCGAAGAAAGCGAGTTGATGGTTGGCGGGTACTCTGGTGTAGTTTGCTCCTTCTGTCCTATCAAACATATGATTGTATTGTCCTTACCTCTCCTCCTCCTTCTATTATGTTTTATTTACTTACCTTACTTTACCTTATCCGCCCTCTTGTACTTCTACGGCGTCCAGGGAAGAAAGAGCTCTCTGTCTATAACAATTTTGATGACCTGGCTGGGTGGGATATTGTATGTTCTCAGGGTATTCTTCACACCCTGGATCCAGGGTCTTTCTTGGTCTTCCTCTTACCTGATACTTTACTGTGGTAGGCTTTACTGGCAAGCTGGTGAGGTGTCATACGTGTGAGATGTCCAAATCACCCGGTTGTTTGCCTTCGAATGTGGCGGAGGACAGGTGTTGTCCCCATCATTTCTCTGATCTTGTTGTTTCTGACCATGTCCCGTCTGCTTTTGTTGACGGCTCTCCATAGACATCCCATCTCGCAGGTGATTATCTTACGTCCCCGACTTTTTGTCAGGGTCCATGTCTGGCACTGGTAGGTCAATGTTGGGATGAGGATCGAGTTAATGAGCTTGGCTTTAGTCTCAATGGGGATGTTAGGATGTTTGAGGAGTGGGGCAAGCTGGTAGCTGACGCTGTTACCCTTTTGTACTCTCGTCTCAATTTCTCTGTTGGGACATCCGTCTTCCGAAAAGATGCTACCAAGATACTTGAACTCCCAGATTTTTTTCTGCGGATTTCCGTCGATGGAGATGTTTAATGTTGCCAGGTGTTCTGCTGATTTTCATAGTCTCTGTTTTATGTTTTATTTTATGGTACTATCTAGTAACACCTTTAATCAAACAAAGGGACTTATATTATGACCTAATTGTGTTGCAAGTGCCGTACAAATCTGGCTTAAACTAAACTGAAAGAAAATAAGATAGTGAGGGTGCTAAGATGGAACAATCGGACAAAAGTAGGCAGAAAAAAACAACAACAAAGGGAGGGGAGGCAACAATATAATATTATACAAATCAATAATACAACATGGCTATTTCCCTTGGACTACAATGAGAACTAAGAGAACTAAGAATCATTTTTCGGTAAGCATAACATCCAATCCTTCGTATTCTGGAACTTATTAATATATTATTATAACGCCTCTCGCATCCGGGGTCGCCACTCTCTGCGGGCAACGTTTAGGTCGCCATTACGTCAGGCTCAACTGACGCTTTGAACTTATTTTAAGAGTGGTCGTGGGTTCTGTTTTGTTGTTTTTGTTGGGGTTATTTTATTATTTTAAAAAAAAAAAAT